AACCTCTGCTTGGTACCCTCCAGGTGTAGGGAGCTCATTGCCTTATGAAACAACTCGTATCTCCCAGGTCTCTGACCACCATGATGGTTTCGCTTGTGTGGGGCCTAAACCTGTCTCCCTGCAGCCTCTGCCCTTTTGGTCCTAGTTCTTGCCTGTGTGACCACACAAGACTTATTCCTCTTCCTCAAGACAACCCTCTGGAGAGCTGAATCTAGTTCTATTGCTCTCTCTTAGAGAGAGACCTTTCCTCCCTTTTTCAGGTGAACATGCCCCACCCCCTTAAACCTTCCCCAAAAGATATGGCTTTGAATTTCTTTACCCTCATGCTTATTCTTCTCCAATCATTCCTTATTTTCTCTTATTTTTTTTAGTTTATTTTATTGTGGTGTGAACACTTAACATGAGATCTACTATTTTAACAAAATTTTAAGTGTACAATACAGTATCCTAAACTATAGGGACAACGTTGTACAGCACATTTCTAGAACTTACTCCTCTTGCATAATTGAGACTTCATGCCCGTTGATTAACAACTCCTCATTTCCCCCTCCTCCCAGCCCCTGGCAGCCACCATTCTATTCTCTGATTCTATGAGTTTGACTATTTAGATACCTCACATACATAGGATCATGTAGTATTTGTCCTGCTGTGACTGGCTTATTTCACTCAGCATAATTTCCTCAAGGTTCGTCCATGTTGTATACAGCAGGATTTCCTTCTTTTTCAAGGCTGAATAATGTCCAACGAATGTCCTATTTTCTTATTTCCTTTTAGAAGTGTGGCTCCCAAAACTTTGCACCAGGTTCTGGATTTCTCTAACCTACACAGAGAGCGAGATTGTCCCCTCCTTTACCTTACAACGGATAATTTTCACCTGGTTTTTATTGCCCTACTGAGCTGGAAGTTCTCTAAAACTTTATCTAACACTTCTCCCACTAAGCTGATGAGTTATATTTCTGGGCTGTTGTGAGGATTAAATGAAACACGTATTTTCAGCACTTAGTGTAATGGCTGGCATTGTACTAGCGCTGGACCATGCATCATAAGCCTGGCGTATTGGAAGCACTCAGTGAATGATGGCAATTATATATTAATAAACATTAAGGTCCTTTTAAAGCCAAATCTTTAATGACTCCCCTGGTAACAGAAGATTGTGAGGCATCAGGGTAGGATGTTACAGCTTTCCCAACTGAGTCTCATTTTGCTATGCTTGGTCTGTCTATCCATCCAGCCTTCTGGGGGCTTTTTGGATCCTGTTTTTTTATCTGAATTATCCTTGGCTTTTTCTAGTTTCTTCTTCTGGGTCAACACAGTGAGCCTGGCTGCTAAGTCCATATCCAAGGCATTGACAAAAGCATTGACTGGGACAGGGCCGAGGCCAGCGCTCTGCAGCAGGTCACCAGAGGTTCTTTGTAGGACCAGGGCACTCCATATCTGGCCCTAGATGTGCTGCATAGGAATCATCTGGGATATATACTTAAAATACAGAGTGCTGATTACTCAGAAATACAGAATCAGAATTGATAGAAGTGGGGCCCAGAAACCTGTATTTTAAATAAGCACTCCAGATGCTCTCAATGTGTAGCCATGTTTGGAAACCATCAACTCCAGAGCTCACTGAGTTCTAAAGCTCAAAACAAAGGCTATTGTGATCTGGTCCAAAGCTGACATCTAAGGAGTCCAGCCTAGTGGGACATGGGGCCTGGTTCTATAAATATATTCAGTCCACCCATGCCACACACCCGTCTGGACAAGTGCTACACAATTACTCCCAACCTTTTTCTGCTCCTTGCTTCCGTCTCTCTGGGTCTATGTCTTGGCTTCCAATGCCAGTTTCAAGGCCTGGATTTTGGCACCAGGTTGGATCTCCTCCACCCCCACCCCAGCTTAGTGGTCTTGGTTTCTCGAGGGCACTCTGTAGACAGCTCTGACTTGGCATCCTCCACAGCTTCTGATGAGACACCCCCCTTCTAGTCCTGGTGTATTGAAACAAGCAACTCTCGGGATGCGAATTAGTCTTCACTTAGTATATTGTCCCAAACCTGCTAGCTGCTCAGGGACGAGACCTTACTTATGCAGATTTGCATCACATTCATATTAGTTTTATTCTCACATTGTCTACATTGCCCAACGTGCAATGTGCTGGGGATGGTACCTCATAGGTGCCTACTAAATTATTCTGACAGCAGAATTCTTTAGTCTGATGCAAAAACTGAAATTAGTGGGGGCAGCCCTGTGGCCTAGTGGTTAAGTTCAGCACACTCCACTTTGGTGGCCCAGGTTCAGTTCCTGGGTGTGGACCTACACCACTTGTCAGCAGCCACGATGTGGTGGCTACCCACATACAAAACAGAGGAAGATTGGCACAGATGTTAGCTCAGGGTGAATCTTCCTCAGAAAAAAAAACACCCTAAAAAACTGGAATTATTGAAAACCCTACAGGCTTCTAAGAAAGACAAACTTGAGTTTGAATCTGAGCTCCACCGTTTTCTAGCTGTAATTATCTTAGGCAAGATAATTAACCTTTATGAACCTCGGGCATCTCAACTGAAGATGAGAAGTGTGGGCTGAGTGTCTAACGGCACTTTTAGCTCTGCCGTTCTGGTACCCTATTTCGGGGTTCTCAGAAGGCAATTCTTTGCAGTCAAGTCGTGCTACTCAAATCAAGCTGGAATTCTCTTCTCCCAGCAGCACGTGGCAGGCTGTCGGCAGACCCTTCATGAGCATAATACTCTGCAGGCATCCTCCAGCCCCTATTAATCAGCCCCTCCTGTCGCTGTAATTCGGCAGCACTCCACCACTCACCTAAGTAATCACTCTGCCTTCTGCCAGTGAATAACTTTCATCCACTTGGGTTTATCACTGTTGAAGCATTTTTTAATCAAAACAATTAAATATGCTAAATCTTCCTCAATTAGCAATGCATTAAAAATTAAAAGTGCTTGAATGGAAACAGCAGAAGAAGCCCTTTGCTTGGCGCTGAGTGCTGGTGCTTCGAGCAGCACTTCTCCGGGGCACGCTCTGCTCGGGAGGTGTTCAGAAACTGGTGTGCACACGGTCACCAGGGCTGCGGCTGAAAGGGACCCTGGAGATGGACAGGTTGAACCCATTCTCTCCATAAGTGGGAAACCGAGGCCCAGTGAGATCATGGTCCTTTTCTAAGCTCATACAGGCTGTCAGTGGCTGGAATTTGTTCTGTTTTCTTTTCCTGTTTTCAAAAAATAAAATTTGTATATATTTAAGGTGTACAACATAATGGTTTTATATACCCATAAAAAGTGAAGTGATTACTACAGTCAAGCTCATTAATTATATCTCTTCTCTCATAGTTACCTTTCATGTGTGATGGGAGCACCTGGAATCCACTCTCTTTGTAAATTTCTGATATTCAATACAATCTTATTAACTATAGTCCTCAGGCTGTACATTAGATCTCTGTATTTATTCATCCTACATAACTGCCACTTTGTTCCCTCTGACCAACATCTCCCCATTTCTCCCGCCTCCCTGTCCCTGGTAACCACTGTTTCACTCTCTGCTCTATATATTTGACTTTTTTAGTTTCCATATACAGGTGAAATCATGCAGTTTTTTCCTTTTTGTGTCAGGCTTATTTCACTTAGCATAATGTTCTCCAGGTTCATCCATGTTGCAAATGGCAGGATCTCTTTATTTTTTAAGGCTAAATAATATTCCGTTATATTTCTTTAGCTGTTTGATTCACGATTCCTGACTTCTAAGATTCCTCCCATCAGAAGCCCTTACCAAAGGACTCATGGCATTCATTTGTTCCCTCATTTTTTTCATACATCAATCATTTATTCTGAAGATAGTTACCGAACTCCTCCTGTGTGGCAGTGTCCCACTATGCTCACAGGAGAGTGGTGACTAAGACACAAGTCGTTGACGTCACAGAGTCTGCAGTTTAATGGGGATGCAGGCAGGTAAACTTTGCCACTCAATACTCCCTTGAAAATGTTGAATCTAATTCTTAGCTCAATTGAATTTCAGGTCTAAATTATTTTTCCTTTGTGGTTGCCAGAATATACTGGTAATAATGATTGTATAGTTGCAGTTAAAAGTAATGATATTTTAAAAATACAAACTCCAGTTCGCAGCCTTTAGCCACAGATAAAGTTGAACTCTGCAGCAATGGTCAATGTCTTGCTGCGGTCTACTTCGCTAGCCTTATCTTCAGGCTGACCAAGAGTTGGAAACCCAGCTCTGTTCATTTACAGGCTGTGGGATCGGGCAAAATGACTTTACTGCATTGAGAATTACGTTCCTCATCTGCAAAATGCAGCTTCTTCAGTGGATCCTCAGGTGTGGACAAATACAGAGACAGCTAATGTGGGACTCCCGCTTCTTGTGGGGCCAAAGGCAGACAGACTCCCCAAGGAGATATATCCATCTCCTAACAGGACTCTGACCTCTCTGGGGTGCAAAGAGGGCCTGGGCAAAAAGAATTGTGACAAATATAATCCTTCAGACCCAAACAAAGCACATGGGTAGCTCTGAAGAAAGAGGGAAGTATTCTAATCCAAAAGTGCTTCATGGAGTAAATAACATTTGAATTTGAGCTTGAGTAGACTTTGGAAAAATGGTGAAAAGGGACAGAGGACGAGGCAACATGTGCCAAATTGCAGAGTGAAAAAGGTGCCTATCATGGGCCAGGCCCTGAGCCAGGCACAGGGGTACATGGAGATGGATGAGATAGAGTCCCTGCCTCAAGGAGGCTCAGTGGAGAATGTGCAAAGAAAAGGGAACTAGCACTTTTAAGCAACTAGTGTATGCAATACATATTCCTTCTCATTTCAGGAATTATTTGGGTTAAAACCATACAGAAGAGAACACTGGAACTGGATTAAAGAACTGGGATTTCAACCCAGATCTCTTAGACTCAAAACTGAAGCTAGCTTTTATGACTGTGAGTTGATTGTACTGTGTTAACTGGTTTTTAGCATCTCAGTAGTTTGTGTTTCTCTGTCTCCCTGCTGCAGGTGTTACCAGCGAAGATATCAAGACCTGCTTTGGAGTCGCTATAGGCATCAGCTATGACTATACAAATAGCACACCAATTGGAATAGGTTTATCAGAAGGACGGTGTAAAAAATTTGGAGATGGCAAAACTGGCAAGTATTTAGTGATGAGTCTCCCCAAAAGAGAAGCCAGTCTTTCCCTTGGACACACAATCAGGGCGTGGACACTATTTTTTTTCCCTTAGTTGATTCCATTTCAGTCAATGGTCACACTGCATAGCTGCTAAATACCCCAAACCAGTGACATGAGTGGCTCTATTTTGAATTCACCATAGGCTGAGAGCACTTTAGAAGTACTTGATTTTGTGTGGTGCAGCTTCCTAGATTTCAAGGACTAGATGAAGTTCTAAGTAAGAAGTAGGATGAAAGGAATGTGTAGACAGAACCTGGAAAGTCAACTGTTAGGATGAAGGCCCATCAGGTTACAGTCCAGAGGGAGGAACAAGTCTGCTGAGAGAGGAGAATATGGTTACCAAATTCAAACTCAAAGAATAACTATTAGAGAAAGATTGCACAAGAATATTTTGTGGCATTTCCTGAACAAGTCAATATGAATGTTCATGTATTCATTCATTCATTCATTCATTCGTTCACCAAAAGTGTATAGAGTTTTTTTTTTCAGGTGGGAGATACAGAGGATGTAGGGATGATGAAACACTTTATAATGTAGTAGATGAAGTAGATACGAAACAGGTTCAAATTATTCCCGTTGCTTTAGGCTCTTCATGCCTCAGAGCCTTAAGTCAAATTGCTTCTTCTCTCTGATGCCCTTCCCTCCTCTCTCCATTTACCTGCAAAGTTTATTTACTTTTCTAGACAACCCTCCCCGCCAACCCCTGCTATAGATCTGACCGCGTCTTCCTCTGCATCCTTACTGAGCCCCAAAGAGACATCTGTCACATCACCTGTAATATTTAATTGAACCTATTTGGCATATAGCAGGCACTGAGTAAACATTTGACATATAAACAAATAAACAAATGAATGAATCTTCATCCATTTTCCCACCTTCTTCCTCCTCCACGTTGGACTAGGCTGTCCTCCCAGTGTTTGCTCTAATCCAGAGGTTGGGTCCATTTCTAAGTCTTGGTCCTTCTCTTCCACCTTGTCTGCTAGTTAATTGAGCAAGGTAGAAGAACGGGAGAGAGCTCTAAGGAGAGCACATAAACTTTGTCTTAAATCTTATTAGGAGAGCTTGCCAACTCATCCTCTGGCTTTTGCGGAAATAAGCTAATGCACTTATCCTCTTGATGGCAGAAAGAAGCAGGAAGACCATGGCGGTGGAAGACGTCATTTCTCGGGTGCGAGGTGGCAGTTCTGGCTGGAGTGGTGGCTTGACACAAAGCGAGAGCATCATTACATACCGTTTCTGGGGGAGGTCATTAAAGTATAATCCTGTTGTTATTGATTTTGAGGTAAGTCTTTTCGCAGTTGAAGAAACTCTACATCCACGAGGAATGAAAGTGAAGCAGACCAGATCATTTCATATTTCTTATTATGAGCCCATCAAAGAACAAGATTAAATGTAATGGCACACTGAACTTGTGGCCTTCCCCATGCCTGACTATAGGGAGTGTGGGACTGTAGCCCCCTGCCACAGGAAAGCTGGCACTTGAAACTTAATATCTGGTTAGTGCCAAGTTTTACACTAGTAGTCCCAGAATTTCTTCAGGGTTAGGCCACATTTAAAAAATAGTAATTTGCATTTATCCATAAAAGGCTTTAAAACTCACATTTGCTAAATTGGGAGTTGGGAAAACTTTTTCTGTGAAAGACCAGATAGTAAATATTTTAGGCTTTGTGGGCCACGTACAGTCTCTGTCACCCAAGTTCTTATTTTTTTTTCACAGCCCTCTAAAAACATAAAAACCATTCCTAGCACAAGGCCATACAAAAAGAAACTGTGGCTCAAACTACAGCTTGTGGGCCCAAGCTGTAGTTTGCTGCCTCTGCTCTGAATGATCTCATCTCCTCATCACATCAACCTCTGGCACAGCCATGATTGTCCCCTGTGAAAAGATTAGGAAACTGAGGCTTCAAGCAATCTCATGAATGGGTTGAGGTCACAGAGCTCATAAGTGACAGGACCTGGATCTCAGACCTCTGGACTTCATGAACAGTTCTCATTTCCCTCTGTCCTAGCACCTTCCTGAAAGCCATGGTTTTCAACCACTGGGTGATTTTGTTCCCCAGGGGACATTTGGCAATATCTGGAGACAATTTTGGTTGTCATAACTGGGAGGGTGCCACTGGTGTCTAGGGGGTAGAGGCCAGGGATGCTGCTAAACATCCTACAGTGCACAGGACAGCCCCATAACGAAGAAATATCTGGCCAAATGTCAATAGTGCCAGAGTTGAGAAACGCTGCCTTAATTCCCTGACCTCACAAAGAGAATAAAACTGTCCTCAAACTGCAAAGGAGGCGGATCCTTCCATCATTACTTCTACTCATATGCAAGGGTAGTCCATTAAAAAAAAGAGTTGTATTTTTGGCTTTTAAATAAAATATTACTGTTTTCTTGCCATTTTCTCCCTACCCTTGCCCATTTTTCTACATATATTTAAAATTCCAGGTATGAATACATTCCTCCTCTTAAAACATGTACCACCAGTTAAACGTAAAAGTCTGTTATAACACCCTGCTCTCTATGAAGAAAGAGGTCGGATGGATTAACCCTGATTTCATTTCTTCTCCAATAAGTAAGGGACCATTTTCACGCACCTGTAATTCACATAGGGTCTGAAAATCGCTATCATCGAGCTATTAGTGATTTGGGCAAAAACTGTGAAATTGATATCAAGAGTAATATATAAACTTTCACGGGCAAGAGGTGAAAAAACTTTGTGTTTGAGCAAAACTTCCAAGGGAGTTTTGTCAGTCAGTTCCAAGACTGACATTCGTGATCTAGAGAAGACCAAATACCGTCTTTTGGGAAAGACAGCCTGGGTTTGGGGTGAGAAAGATAGTTTGGCTCATGGCTCAGCCACATTTTCAATGTGTGACCTTGGCAAGTTACTTCATTTTCTGAGCCCCAGTTTCTTGCTCTGTAACATGGGGATAATAAAATTTTATGTCGCAAGGTTAGGGAGAGAGCAGTGGATATTTAGTAAATGTCACTTGAGGAAACAGGTTCATGGAGGCCAAGTGAGCTGGCCAAATCTCAGAGCTGGTAAATGGCAGAGCCCAACTTGAGCCAACTTCCCTGACTCTAACACCCACGATCTCTTCACAACCCATTTGCCCGCTGAGAAGTTTGGATTCAATGCATTAAGCTGCTGGCAGGTTACAGAGCAGGGAAGTGACACAGCTAGAGCTGTGCTTTCAAAAGAGAATGCTCACAGAAGTATGAAGGATGATTAGAGGTACCGACAAGCAGGCCCGTTTGGGGGTTGTTTGGAAACTGCTGCTCAGAGTGGAAACAGTGTCTTATTCAGTTGCATATCCCCAGAGCTTAGCAGTGCTCATTTATGGCAGGTACCTAGAATGAGTGAACATAGAAATCATGTTATGTTATGATGCTGTGCTATGTTATATATTATTATGTTATGTTTTATTGTGTCACTATATCACGCCACTTGCCTTCTCTGAATCTGTTTTCTCATCTGTAAAATGGGAACAAGACCATTGCCAACATCTTTCAAGCTCTAACATACTAAGAGTCTTTTTCTCCACCCCTCTTCCCTCCTTTAAGACTCCACCAGCTCCTCCGCAGGAGTGCCCCCTTTCCTCTTCCTGAGGGTTCCGAGAGGGAGCAGTGAGAGATGGGGGACTGAGGGCTGAGCCCCACTCAAGGGTCAAAGGGAAGTTGCCCAATGATCCTGCCTTCCCTGGAACTGTGTCAACTTTAACCAGGGCCACAGGGCAGCCCATTCTGCACTGACTTCCTAACAATGGGGCCAAATTCCCTGAACTTCCAATAAGTGGTCTTCTCCCCTTGGCTGGGGGCCCAGCCAGTTCTGATGTGACCAGCCTGGTAACCTCAGCCGCAGCCCTGACCACAGGCCAAGGTCTGTTTGCCACGCGTCTTTGGGTACACATTTCCAGGAACCCATGCGAGGCTATTGCCTGTGCCCTCTATGGACTCTTGATTCTAGGGAAGTGAGATGGCTCCACTGTGGGTCAGTCCTCTCTGAATTGCTCTGTGACCTTGGTAAACCACTCCCCTCTCAGGGCCTCAGGTCACTCTCCTTTAAATGAGAGATCTGCAAAAGAGCTTTCATTTTAGGATTGTCGTTAAAATATATGGCATTATAAGCATGCTGAAGATAATCATATGTGCATGCAATTTGAAAGATATTGGCTTCTTTTTCCTATCATCATATCTAATAAAAACGGTGCTTTGTTTTATATTGTTCTTCCCATTTGCAATGGTATCTCACATTCACTACTTCTTTAGATCCTCATAAGAATTCTAGGAAGTAGGTTATCATGCCCCTTTTATAGATAATGTGGCTCGGGTTTAGAGAGGGCCAGTGCAGAGTTCCAGGCCACATAGCAGGAGGGGAGCAGCATTTATGGAACTTGAACTATGTGACAGGCTTTTCCCGTCTGTCAACTTTGCTCTTCCCAATAGATCTGGAGGGTAGAGTGTTGTTCCCACTTTGCAGACGAGGCAGGGAGGCTCCACTGTGCCTTGACAGAGATCACACAGCTGCAGGTGATAGAGCTGGCGTTTGCAGCCACATTTTCTGGCTCCAGATTCAGTGCTCTCTGCTACATCTACTACTTCCCAACCAGGGGTCGATTTTGCCCCCCAGGGGACATTTGCCAATGTCAGGAGACAGTTTTGGTTTTCATGACTGGAAAGTGCTACTGGCATCTAGCGAATAGAGGCCAGAGATGCTGCTAAACATCCTACAGTGCACAGGACAGGCCCCCACTGCCAGCAAAGAATGAGCCGGCTGGAAATGCAATAGTGCTGAGGTTGGGAAACCCAGGACTATAGTCATTACTGGAAAGAGTTGCCTCAAATGTAAACGATCTCCCTACACACACACCCACCACAGTGACACCATTAGGGAGCGTGCTCAGCAATGGCAGCACAACTACTTATCAAGGACTTTATTAATTTCTTCATTGAAGGATGACAATCAAAAAAATACACACACGAACACACACACACACACAAATACTTTGCACTCTTCCTGCTTCCTAAAAGTGAGGGAGGAGGCACAGATGGCTTCTGAGCTCTTGTGTTCCTCCGGGATTGGAGGACCACAGCCGTCAGAGTTTAGTAAGTCCATGTTCAGAGTGGCTTTTGCACTTAATTGCATGATCATGAGCTAATCACTCAAACACTCTGAGCCTCCACTTCTTCCTCCTTGGGCTGGGGAATTTAGTACCCGCTTCACAGAGTGGCTGCAAGGATCTAATGCAGCTAGATAAAGTTGAGTCTCTGTAGCAGGCCTTCCAGAAGCTTGATGGTCAGTTCTCGGGCTCTGAGAAGCTGGATAGAGCCCAGGGAGGGGCCTTCTGTTCTTTTTGTTCCCACAGATGCAGCCCATCCATGAGGTGTTGCGACACACGAACCTGGGGCCCCTGGAGGCTAAACGCCAGAACCTGCAGCGGGCCTTGGACCAGTACCTGATGGAATTCAATGCCTGCCGCTGCGGGCCCTGCTTCAACAATGGGGAGCCCATCCTCGAGGGCACCAGCTGCCGGTGTCAGTGCCCCCTGGGTCGCCAAGGCCTTGCCTGTGAACAAATGGAGCAGGAGGGTAAGGCCCGTGCGTCCTTACTCGGGATCAAGCCTGGCCCCGCTCAGAGGAGCCAGCACAGGAGGGCCTTTGGGGTTCCCAGCCTCCCCTTTCTGTGCCTCTTGCCCCCTACTCTAGAAACACACACTCTGAGCTTTATGGCTGACCCCCCAGACTTAATGGTTCTTGTGCTTTCCGCCTGCCATCTGGACCCTGTCTCAGATGAGAACTGTCCTTTACCAACATGCACATGGACAACACGATTAATTTCTGGAGGAATACTTTCATTTCCTAGGGTTGCCGTAACAAATTACCGCAAGCTGGGTGGCTTGAAGCAACAGAAATTTATTGTCTCACGTGTCTGGAAGTTAGAAGTCCAAAATTCAGGGGTATTAGCCAGTTGGTTTCGTCTAGAGGTTCTGAGGGAGCATGTGTTCTATGCCTCTCTCCTAGCTTCTGGTGGTTGTCGGTAATGCCTGGCATTCCTTGTTTTGTAGATGCATCATTCCAGTCTCTGCCTGTCTTCACATGGTGTTCTCCACTTGACATCTCTGTTTTCTCTTCTTATAAGAACACTAGTCATTAGATTAGGACCAGCCCTAAGACTTAATCTGCAAAGACCCTATTTCCAAATAAGGTCACATTCACAGGTAGTGGGGGTTTGGACTTGAACAGATCTTTTGGGGTGACACAATTCAATGGTGAAGTCGTCATCATTACAGTGCAAGGAGTTATGACTAAAAACAGGGTTGGGGCAAGTTAGGCTTAAACATGCAGAGCTGCAGCATGAACCAACTGGTACCAGGGAGAAGATTCTCAAACAGGGGTTAGAAATCCATATCCCTTAGAGATGAAGAAGTCCTCAGACCTGGATGTGAATCTCAACTATTTCACTGACTTACTGTGAAACACTGCTTAGTCACTTCTTTTTTCTGGGGCTCATCTTTCCCATCTAAGTTTCCTTTGAGCCCCAAGAATCTCTGTGAATGCCCCGATACCTAAGCTTTCAATTTTCTATGCACACAAAACTGCTTATATAGTATACGGAATGATGGCAAAAACACAGCGGCTCCCAAGTCGATGTATGCATCAATCTCAATTGGCAACTGCAATGAAGAAAAGGTACAGAAAAAAAGAAGTGTGGATGGGTGTATAGATCTAAGGCACTACTCTTGGGCCCATAAAACAAACTGTTGAAGCACAGGGTGGATGGGGTGGGAGCCTGGTTTTAAAATGAGATGATGGTGGGTTATAATTTCCTCATCGGGAGATAGTTCTAAATGGGAGGCAGGATAGCATAGCTCTGGTGTCAGATAGGCCTTTGAATCCCAATGCTGTCAGTTTTCATCCAGGCATCCCCTGTAAAATGGGGATAACATTAGTACCTTCGTCACAGGTTGTATTGAGGATTCAATTAGCTAACACATGTGGCAGGCGGTATAATGATAAAAAGAGGAAGAGTGAGCTCCATTGGTAGAGGATCTGTCCTGGGTTGGTGCCTTGTCTAAATCCCTTCTTTGCTGGCTGTACAAATTGGGTCCCAACAAGCTCCCTGGTGTCCTGTAGGAGGAACTCTGAGAGGGGTGAGCCGAGATGGTGAGTGGATTCAGAGTCCTTAGGAAGGAGGATGCAGAGAATAAAAACAAAGCAGACCAACTACCAGCACCAAGCCTGGTGCAGTTCCTCATGTGAATTGGAAAAGGTACTGCCTGATGGGGGGTAAATTGGGAGAAACAAAGAAAACCACTCAGGCTGATACTGCCCAGCTCCAAGGCCCGGGGGTTTCTTTTTGAGCAGAGTGTGGACTGGGTTTCAGCCCCCATTCGCCCCATTGGCCAGGCAGCTTTCCCAGAGAGACCAAAGGTCAATGAACAGAAGGGATAACTAACCCTTATTCTGTGCCAGGCACTATTGCAACACTTCATGTGCATGAACTCATCTATCCCCCCAAGAATACTATGAGATAAATCCTATTATTAGCCTCAATTTACAGATGAGGAAACTGGGACAGACAGAAGGTGAGATCACTTGCTCAAAGTCTTCTAGCTGGGAAGTATCAGAGCCAGGATTTGGACTCAGGCAGTTGGATGCTAGGACCCAAGCTCTTCACTGTTACATTCTACTGATTTACACCCTAAGAGTCAGGAAATTTGGAGAATGAGGGCAGAGTCCGAGGTGATTACATTGACTATCATTTTGGGGAGTGGGGAGGGAGGGTATGTCCTAGTTCATGGTTGTCAGCCTGACCTGGCTTAAAGGGACAGACTTGAGCCCTGCCTGGATAATTATAACTAGCACGTCAAGGGCCCTCAGAATCAGTGACTTCCAGCAAAAGGACAGAGAGAACAGGGAGTGTGGACTACCTAGATATGCCTCTTCAGTGGTCCAGTGCTGGGCTCAGTGGTGGCCATGCTGAGTCATATGTACACATGATGGGCATTGGAGAAGGGGCACACGATGCCGATGATCTGGGAGTGATGGCAGGGCGTAGAGGGCTGAGTCCTCCGCACAGCCCCATTCCTCCTGCAAGATTACATTCAGTCAGTTGCAGGCGGTTCATGGTGTTCTATTACCGTTGTTGCAAGCAGGGTGTGGACATCAGGTGGCCTTGGGGTTATCAGACTGAACTTTCAGCCTGACAGATCCATCTGGCAAGGAAATCTAAGTCTGGGGAGTCAGCCACCATGGAGACCCATTGATGTAGGTTCCTAGGGATTTTCCCAGCAAACCTTTGCCTGTGGGGCCTGAGTCACAGAGGTGGGAAAAACAGAGACAGAGAGCCCAGCTGTGGCTGCCCCACCAGGGAGTATAATTACAGCGCTGGAAGGGACGTGAAGATAATCTAATCCAATGATATTCACACTGGGATCTGAGGAAACTTGGGGTCTTAGGGGCTGCCCCAGGGGAGCAGGGCGAACCTGATAGACACCCCAGCTTCAAAAAGAATGGCTCCACTTTCATCTACTTCCACGTTGGGGTCCATGTAAGATTTCATTTAAGGAAAAAAAAAAAAAACAGTAATGAAAAAAATAGTGATGAAAAAACTCCACCAGATCAGTCCATCGTTTTCATTTACAGAGATGAAACTTTAGGCCGAGAGAGGAGACGGGCTTGCCCCAGGCGCGGAGCCAGTAGGAGGCAGCAGCCCCATGCTAGGGGCGTTGTATGAGCTGCATGGCCAGAGAAGCCCACAGTCAGTGCACGTGTTCTGATGCTCTGCGCAGAGAATGTGTCACCTACCCTGGGCCCATTGTCAGAGTCTGACAGGGTTTGATTTGCAAACCATCAATCCAAAGCCCAGCCATCCGCTCCATAGGGGTGTCTGGCTGGCCCTGGTCTGTGAATTCTCAGCTGGGCTGTGCTGCCTGCTCTTCATGCCCTTCAGGGGCTCTGTGTCATTCTTCCAGAGGAAGGCACCTCCCTGCCTTACTCTGCTATCCATCTTCTGTGGAACGGTGGATTTCAATTTCTTGAGATGGGCTCCCAGTGGCCTCTTCTCACTCCATCCAGAGTTTCAAATTAAGTGTGAGGAGGCGAGCACAGAGGTCTTGGTTGGCTGCACCAAGGCATTTCCCCAAGGAGAGATTGCAGACCACTCTGGGGCAATGGGATGGGCCTCCCTCCTCACCATCCGAGCTGCTTCTTGTATGCTAACCTCCTGCTCCCCTGGGAAATTATCTGTGCAGGAGCCAAGGCGAATGGGCACTGGAGCTGCTGGAGCTCCTGGTCTGCTTGCAGAGCGGGCACCCGGGAAAGGCGGAGAGAGTGCAATAATCCCGCACCCCAGAACGGGGGCACCTCGTGTCCGGGGCGGAAAGTGCAGACCCGGGCTTGCTGAGGGCCTCTGGGCACCGGCTGGGACAGATGCAGCGCATGTCACCACCTGCACCCACCACTGGATAAAGATTTCTTCCTGCTGAGAGAAAATGCAAATCTACATGGACTTTTTCTTTGTCCTGCCAGTTCTCAGGCCTAAGACCAGGCTGTGCCATCTACAACCAACCGTTCTGTTACCCATGAAACTCAGTCATTCAACAACTGGGTGTTGAGTGTTAACTAGAGGCTCGGTCCTGCTCACAACACTTTGGATCATTCAAAAAATCATCAATAAATAAAGGAGAAATCTCAACCCATGTCTTAGGGAAACTTATAGGATGTTAGAGGTACAAGGCAGGCAGATGCTCTTGAAACAATCAATGGCCAATAAAACAGAGCATGATGAGAATTATCTCAGTTCTTTGATAACATTATTTGTTCATTTGTAGAACCATTATTAATTGGTAGGCTAAGCAGACACTCTGAAAAAATAAGAAAAAATTCAAGATTGACTTGAACTCCTTCAATTTTCCATCATTTGGACCCAACATTTTCTTGTATTCCTTCAATTAATCTCTCTTGTTTGCTTAAGTTCTTACCATAGATATAAAATTTTTCCCAATTATATTCTCATGGCACACTATTGTTTTCCTTCATTGCATTTTTCACAAGTAGTAATTGTATATTGGCTCCCATATCTGCTGTGATTGTTTGTGACCTGTCTCCCCATAGACGGTAACCTTGCGGGCAGGGATCATCTTTGTTTGGTGCAGCACTGTATTCCCAGAGGCCAGGGCTATGCCTTGAATTAGGAGGGACCCAACGAGCATCTGTGGATGAAGCGAGGGCTTGGACTCAGAGTCAGTTCAGAGATGTGGTCCATATTGGTCAGCCTCCCAGAGTGGAGCATGGATCTGGAGGTGCCGACCCCTGATGACCAGTGCACCTTCCCTGACCCCTCTGTGGGTATCCCCACAGCACGCCAGTCAGGCCTCAAATAGAGAACATGTGGTGTCGCACTGACTTTTCTGTTTACCTCTAGGTTTCTCCTATAGATTGTGAGCTCCTTGAAGGCAGAATCTGCATTCCCAGTCAATACAAGAAACACCTGTTGACATTTTTTGGCGCTCCCTATCCTTCCAGAATCCTCGATCTTTTTAGGGTGATAATAAGACTTATATATACATGAAACAATTAGAAGAGGTTTTAAGGACATAGGAAATTAATTGCTGAATTAGTACCAAAATATGTGGCGTGTGAAACCAGTGCCCAAGGAGACCAGGTGTGAGAGAGGTTTACCTCTCCTTGTGTGCGCATATTTTATACATGGAATGGGGCTTGACCCAGGCCTTGAAGGATTTTTGAACTAGGCAAAGGAGGAGACCTTTAAGATAAAAATTCAGCATGTAACAAAGTTTGATGGTGAGAGAGAATATTGGGGGTGTGTGAAGGTGTATATGTGTCGGGAATGGGGATGGGGGAAGATGGTGAATGTAAATAAAATAAGTTATATAAAATACTCAGCACAATGCCTGTCACATATGAAATTATTTGCATCACCCTTATTATTATGGTTACTATTATTAATTAAAGCTTATAGTTTAGAAGTTTATTTCTGAACTCTTTAGATCTGTCGGAAAGAAGAAAAAAGAAGACTCCTTTATTGCTTCTCGTCCTGTCTTTACTTTTTGAGTTAATTTGCATTAATAATTAATTTCCATTCATTATTTACCGGGGAATGGTAGTTACATGCTAGAAAGTGATGGGAGGCCAAATTGGCCAGGCCAAGTGGCCAATTTACAGAGGACATTCACGCTTGATCAAAAAGCGGTAGTTTTCAATCTTGGTTGCACATTAGAATTACCTGGGGAGTTTTAAAAACCCTGACGTCCAGAGGCTGCACCCCAGACCAGGTAAATCCAAACCCTGGAGGTGGGAGCCAGACATCAGTAGTTTCAAAAGCTCCCCAGGCAATTCCAGTGCAACCAAGGTTGAGAACCCTTGAGAGTGAAGGAGTCATTATATGTTCATGGGGAATGGGGTATGTGGCAAAACAAAAGGGCAGCCACAGGAAGGCTTATCTGTGCTTTTTATCTGGTCTTCTCAAGGACCTCCTAAGATTTGTTTTATGGTCCCATTTGACAGCTAAGGAAACTGAGTCTCAGCAAGGCTGAGCCTCATGGGTCACAGAGCTGGCAGGCCGGCCAGGGTTTGAATGCAGTACGTCAAGCACACACCCCTCCACCTTTGCTCTGTGCTGTCTGCCAGCGGAGGGACTTGTGGGATGGTGTGTGGGGCCCAAGGAAGAGGGAGGGAACCAGAGGCAAGGGAGCTCCTTACGAGGTAAGTGTAGTAATCTAGGGGCGAGACGAGAATGTGGGGATTAAGCAATTGCGCGGATTACCTATGAGCCAAAGCCCCCGGCTGAGCAATGTTGTCTTCCTGTCGTCTGAGCTGGGAACCGAGGCCACTGTCTGTCCCACTCCTCTGAGGACGCTGCATCCCCAGCAGTTTTAGAAATTAAAATACAGCAGCAGCCGCAGTTTCAGAAGCGGCAACCCTTCAGCACATCAGGGCCTTTCCCTTCTAGAATGTCTGGCTCTCACTAAGCAAGAGGCAGAAAGCTCGTCAAATATATTCTCCTTCAGTTCCTTCAGGAGACCTATAATCTAAGGTTTTATAGGTAGTGGATGTAAACACGTGGTTTAAAGATATAATCTTCAGGTCGACAAGGTGTCTTGAAAAGTAAATTAATGACAGAGTGAAAGCAATAAGGAAAGGCTTTTTTCCTTTTTCTCTTCTTTGAGATAGAGGAAGATCTAAAGAGTTCAGCATTCAATGAATCTCTTCTGAACTATATGCCTTTAGGGTGCAGACAATGGACAGAGAGAAAGGGTGGGCTTCAAATACCACACTGCAGAAAGGAGAAACGGCAGAGTGAAGCCATCGGCGCCAGGAGAGGAAGGGGATGTGATACGGATTAGCAAAGGGCGCTTCTCTTCCGAAGACCATTGAGGCTGCTATCCCTTCTCTTGGGAAACGGGCGAAGGGCTCTGGTGAGCTCTGTGCCGGCCCCCAGCCGGGTGCTGGAGGTACGGAAATGAACAGCCATGATCTGGCCCTGGAAGAATGTGTGGTCTGGTGCAGGAGGCCTGTGAGTGATGGCGTGGGAAGCCCAGGGGGATGTGGGAGCTAGCGCAGCTGGGCAGCAGGGAAGACAGCCTGGAGGAAGAGAGGATGGCCAGCAGAATCTAGGAAACGAGTGGGAGTTAGACAAGCAAAGAGAGGAGAGGGAGGGGCAGGATGATGCAAAGGAAATAGCATTGCAAAGTCACAGAGGAGGGAAACCACGTGGTGGGTCGGGGGCGCTTACTGCTCAGCTCCTTGGGTATGGGTGCTGGCCCTTCTCAGGCTGGGAATGGGCCTTTGGTTTGGTCACTAGGCCTTACCTGGGGGCAGCCGGTGCTTGGTCCTGGGAAGATTTCCACAGAGGGCTACTTCCCTGCTCACCTCAGGCGCTCCTGGTGGTTCAACACCCCACAGCCATTATCATAAAGCCCAAGCACTTTCAGCCAGATTCACCAGGTTCTCTCTGATCTGACGCCAATGTACCACTCCATCTTTATGTCCCTTTTCAGACTCTATGAGCCAGTTGTACTAAAAATCTCTTGTTCCTAAGAGGATGTACAAAACCCTATATGATCAGCCCTCAGCTCTCTCTCTGGCTTTGTTTCCTTCCGTTCACTCCTTCCCTCAGTCATGCTGCTCCAGCCATGAAAGCCTTTTTCTGTTCCTTACTCACCCCACGCTCTCTCATGCCTCAGGACCTTTGCACCTGCTGTCCCTTCTGCTTGCAATGCTCATCCCCTAAATGAACTCATCTAAGGCTCTCTCTCTTGTTTCATTCAAGTCTCTGCTCAAATATGACTCCTCCAAAGGCCTTACCCTCTTTTTTGTGTGTGTATGGCACTTATCACTATCTGAGATTACAGATTTGTTTATTCTTTTTTTTCTTGGTATGCCTCCCCCCGTTGATATGGAAGCTTTTTCCCCAGCACCTAGAGTAGTATTTGGCCTTAGTAGGGGTTCAATAAATACTTGTTCAACGAATGAACTACTTACAATTTAGTTCCCCAAATAGGTCGGGCTCTTTGTCCCGTCCAGGCCTTGGCACATAACACCCCAGAAACACCCCTGCCCACCAGCTCCCATCTTCTCCGGGTTCTTCGCCAGCACTTTTCTGGGTACAGGATAGGTATTCATTCACCCAGAAAGCCAACCCTGACCCCTTCCATGACCCCACACTTCATCTCCTCCATATGGCCCTATATTCCAGCACTTTCCATACTCCATCACAGTAGCCCACTTGTCTGCCCCCCCCCCCCCCCGCCCAGTGACTTCTTGCAGGGCAGATGGGGACTTATATTTGCTTTTGGAGCTCCAGCACCTAGCGTAGAGCTTGGCACACAGGATCTCCCTGGTACAAGTCTGTCGAATGCTCTTCTCTCTCTGGCCCCTCCATGCCAGAGGCAAAGGTTCTGAAACAGCGTTTGCACATTGTGTGCAGAAATTTGTGAGAGGCAACCCCATGGAAGACATCTTACAGGACTCCTGGATCCTGCAACCTTCCTGGTGCATCAGAGGGGAGCCCACACCATTCCTAGAGGCTGTACAAATTTAAGAGAGAGCCCGCCTTTTCCCCCTTAGTGAAGGAAAGTCTATCAAATGGAGTTAAAAATTCTGCATTCATGGCCTTGGAGGTTCCCCCCTCCCCTGGGAGAGATAAAGGAAAATATGTTTCCCTTCTATATTAACAGCCTAAAATGTGAGATAAATCCTCCCGTCCTAACCTGTTTTTAACAAATGGACTTTGCTATCCAGTGGCATGATACATGTCTGACAGATCTATTTATCCATTCTATTTCCTTAGAGATAGCAGCTAAGAAGTTTTATCTATTATTTGCCTCCCTCCCCCATTCCCATTTTCCTAACCAAGCATGTGAAGCAAGGAGTTGATGGATGGATGGTGTTTGGGATAAAAGGGGGTGGAATCAGATCATTTTCAGGATATGAACAAACTGGCTTATGAACAAGGAGGCTTGTCTGGCAGGAGGTGGTGGGGGAAGGAGGAGGGGATACCAGACAATGGCCAATGATGGATGAAGGCACACCTGGGGTTGCAAGGTGTAGACACGAGATAACCACTAGAAGTGGCCACCGGTAATGGGAGTGCCGGGGCTCCGGAGCAGCCTCCTGCACAGAGGTGAATGTCAGACCAGCCACTTGACTCCCTTTGAGAATCCCTCCAAGAATTCCCCATTGCAAACACAACTGCTATTTCTTCTCCTTTTCCTTTCTGTAAAATGCAACCTACATGCTCAACAAGAGACAGACGTTAGACAGGGTACAAGGAGGCA